GTCGTTTTCCGTGTTGTTGCGCAATTCCGCCGGTGTTGGAATAGCCGGCGGCATGGCCGCATCCATCGGTTCGATGAATGTAACATTCCGGCTATGCACTATCTGCTTATTGTGCGGATTGAACACCCGATACGCTCGGCTATCGGGGCTATACCCTATCAGGATCCCCGGCCAAGCACGATTCGCGAGCTTGGACTTGTACGCCTCCAGGTGACAAATGCCGTTGAAACAACATATTCGCACGATTGAGAGCGAAGTATCTGATTGAGAGCGATTTCTCGCTCTCAATCGGAAACTTCGCTCTCAATCGTGCGAAAACCCTGTTTTCGGCCGATGACCCGCAGATGTCGTCGCGAAGCTTGCTTCCCAAACATCCGGTAGTAGGGGGTCTCATTGTTGAGATGCACATGCGGTAGCCGATTCGTGATGTGTACCGTCGTGCAACATAGCTCGCCCCATAAAAACTCCGGCAGTTTTCCTCCGTGCATCAAACATCGAACGATGTTCATGAGGTTGCGTTCACTGATGCCATTTTGTTGCGGTGTAGCCGGCGCCGTAAACTCTTGAACGATTCCGATGGTCTTGCAGAGGTCCCTGTCGTACTCTGATGTGTAGTCACCTCCATTATCGCTGCGGAGTCGCTCCAACCGAAAACCATTCGGTATGACGATGTCTTGAATAAATTTATCCAGTGTGTTGATAGCCTCGTCTTCGGACCGTATCAAATACACAACATTCATCCTTGCATATTCGTCCGTCAATTTACAACAAAGTTGTATCCGCCCTTTGCAGGTGGCGAAATTGGCCACAGTAGATCCGTATATACCCGCTGACACGGCTGAACAGCAGATTGCTGTGCCGTTTTGGGATGTTTCTTCTGCGTGCTCTTCTGAATTTTGCACGTCTCGCACGGTTCCATTTCGTCCTTAAGCTTTACTCCAGTTTCTTCGATACGCGCAGCTGCCTCGATGATGTTCTTGTAGCAATGTCCCAAACGCCGGTGCCAAAGGTTGTAGGGCTCCGCGCGTGCAGCAGCCACACATTCTTTCTCGTAAGTATTTTTGGCCTCCTCGTTGATCGGGGGTCTATTGTCGCGATGACTCGTGTCAAGTCGCACATCCAGAAAATATAAAGTCCCCACCCCTCGTAACACTAGGGCGATTCGTGATCCATCTCCTGAAGTGGGAGGTAACTCGATTCGCGGCTGATCCGACATGATCGTGTTCGCACCTTTCTTCTGTGCTGTTCCGGTCGAAAACAGGTGTCTTCCTAATCCTGGAACCACTGTGCACTTCATNTCGCGATGACTCGTGTCAAGTCGCACATCCAGAAAATATAAAGTCCCCACCCCTCGTAACACTAGGGCGATTCGTGATCCATCTCCTGAAGTGGGAGGTAACTCGATTCGCGGCTGATCCGACATGATCGTGTTCGCACCTTTCTTCTGTGCTGTTCCGGTCGAAAACAGGTGTCTTCCTAATCCTGGAACCACTGTGCACTTCATCCGCACTCTCCTGTCGTTTCCATCTTCATCCTTGGCGAATACGCTGATGATGCCCGTGCTGGTCCCTTCAAGGTCAACTCCTCCAGCACCAATAATCTTCATGGGTGTAAAGATTTACTCGAAGTATTCCAATATGTAGTCCAGATCAGGTAGCGAATCCCCGTCCAGGTAATGGCCCGATGCTCCACTATCGACCAGTAAATTAATTTTTCCTTCATGATAATCCTTATAAGCAGCTTGTTGTGCTAGCATCTCCATGCGAGAAACGCATGGGTATCCAAGGTTCCCATTGTAACCTTCAACCGCTGTCTCTTCAGTAGGTTGTGACGTAGTTCGGACACTCCTGTTGGGCATAGACCCCCTCGTGGCCTCTTGAGCGGTGGTAGCTCTGCTGACAGTCCGATGGTCATTGTTATACAGTCTTGGATTGAAGGTGTAAGTAGCGCCCCTGTCTTGGACATGCTGACGAACATTGTTTGCCCGTCATGTTCCTTGTGATCCATCCATGGTCGGTCCGCCGCGTCCCGTCTCTGTAGTTCGTATCCCTACTTTTGACTTCCATGGAAGCTGAATCTACTTCCTCCATGGAAGCTACCCCCTACTTCCATGAAAGTGATAGGTTTTTACTTCCATGGAAACGCTGCGCGACACTTCCATGGAAGTCAGTATTGAAAAGAAAGGTGGATGTGCCACTTCCATGGAAGTCGAATCTCCACGAAGTCCTTTTGGACTCCCATGGAAGTGGAGTAGCTTCCATGGAAGTTAAACCTACACTTCCGTGGAAGCTACTCCAAAGGGCAATGGCAGCTTCCATGGAAGTATTCAGCCTCGGGTATAGCCTCCATGGAAGTAAGATCACGGATTCCATAGAAGCTCTTTTCGAATGGAATGAGGTAGCTTCCATGGAAGTCTGCAATTGTATGCATCGCTTCCATGGAAGTCATCGACGAACACTTCCATGGAAGTCATCGGAAGAGCTTCCATGGGATTATATTGCGTCCAGCCAACTTCCATGTGAGTATCCCCCGCAAGACTTCCATGGAAGCAGTCGAAAAACGTTCTTAGCAACCCATTCGTTAGGGAACACTTGTCGGAGTCCCGCGGAGTGGGTGTGTGCCAGTAAGAGGGTGGGTGCGGGTTTGCTGTGACGTGCATGGCGGTTGGTTCTGATGGGAGTGTGCCACTGTAGAGTGTAGTGTCATCGAACATTCCGCCCCCTTACACGTGTGTGTGCATTCGAGTCGAAATGTTGTTAGTACTATCGCTATGTCGCCGACGCAGTTTCGGAATCTCGAAATCTTCTTCAATCCGATCTCGGCACCGTCCTATTGGATTGTCTATCGAAGTATCGAACCGTTTCTGGAGACCCCGTCCACCCGGACACACACTTCACACTCATGAAGGACACGTCAAGGGAGAAATACCTGCCCTGTGTCCCGTGCCCGCGGTGTGTCCGCCTAGTCATTTAAAGATAGATGCGGCTTTCCGCTCACGTTGGGTCGCAGACGGCAAATACCTCCTCAGTAAACTGGTGTTTGCCTCGTCCCTCTTTCCTCACTAGCTTCGTCTCTATGCAACCTCATGTTCAAAACCTACCGATAGACGACTGGTGTGCCTGACGGGTGCTAACATCGACGACCGAAACAATCAGCGAAGCTGAAACCTAGAACGACCCCGAGCGGTTGCGCTTATAACCCCCCCTCTGAATAACGACTAGACCGCTCGGACCTTATCTGTAGTAGAGCAAAGCGAAAGTAGACTGCCATTTGCGTCTTCGTCCTTGTTCACCTTTCGTGCCGTTGTCATGCCCGAAATAAATGATATTTTCGTGTGCTGCCTCTGATCTGTACAACGTACTCATCATCAACACATCCACGTTGTGACCCCCGACACCTCGTCTGCCCTCATACTTCCTAACACCAGAGCTAAATAAGACCGCTGCCGCCACGGAGACACCCCTGGGTTCCCCCTATTGATGGAGTCCGCGACGTCCTTGATGACTCGGACGACGGCATTAACGACAACCGTCCAATCCACCGAGTTGGGGACACGGACGATGAAGGCGATGACGAGGATGGGGCGAACGGCTGCAGCCGCGACGACTCTGACGATAGCGTCGCATGCATGCATCCGCCTACCCTTCCTGACAAACCGAGAAAGGGAGGCCGCCCGACCCGCAAGGGACAACGGCCGACGTCTCCACGGGCCGGCGCGGCCGGTTCTCCAGTCGACCTGGTGACAGAGCAGCGGGGCGAGGAGGGGGCAACGCGGAAGAAAGCGTCCAAGGGCGCGTCGGGGGATCCACTGGATGTAGATTCGGGAGGGTCGGAGCAGCCGGCGCCTAAGGGCAAGCAGAAGGCATCCGTCAAGACTAGGAAGGCCGGTGGGAAGTAGAAGGCACCTGCCAAGACTAAGAAGACCGCTGGGAAGAAGTTGTCCGAGCCCGTGTCCGAGTCAGAGTCCGAGTCAGAGTCCGACACCACCCATTCGCTGCGGTCGGCCCGGAGGAAGGTGACTCCTGAGCAGGGGAAGAAGCTTACCGAGGTGTCGAAGTCGACATGCCCTGACCGAATCAAGGAGCGCAACGCCGCGTTCGCTGCCGCCGACGAGGTGTCTAGGAAGAGGGTAAGGCAGGCTGTCCTGGCCCAGGAAGGCGTTGAGGTAAGCAGTACAACGGTGTGATGTGGTAATATCGTGTGTTCCGCCGATGACACCCGACTGCCGACGATGTACCTGTCCGCGCAGTGCCGGCATGTGTGGAGTTCTACTCGTGCTTTATGGCCTTGGGTGGATCAGGTTGTAAATCACACTCCGGTTGCGTAGAACACTTTTTACCACGTAGTTGGACATCGGCCGCCTCTGTAGAGTCAAATCTCTGTGGCTACTGATTCACCGCATGCGAGGGTAACGTTTCATTCGAAATCTAACATCACTATACTCGAATTGCCCGCCCGTAATGTTGCGCAGGGGGCTAAGCTGCTGAAGAGGAAGAAGGCCAAGGCGAAGAGCGCAGCGGTTGCGGCCCGGAAGGTGAGTCTGTGTTGGTAGTACGCTAGGTCGGGTCAGGCCGCCATAGCAATTTCGATCACGTTCGCTGAACGCCACGAGTCCAACCTACATTTCGGGAACGTACTGTGAACCGGAAAACGCGCTGAACACTCCTATTGAACATCATTAGCGTAGCGCCAAGAGGGCTGGCTAAACTTGCGTGAGTCTGCCAGTTGCCGCACCCTCGCCTACCTTACCCGAGAAAATCGGTGCCACAAATCAACCTGTAGGCCGTTGGTCACGCTCTGTTCGTCTTGCGCAATGTAAATTCCAGGAGGGAGGCGCCCCCCTGCGTGCCCCCCTCCAAAAGCCCGGGAGTCGCCGAATGTAAGGAAACCCACTGTAGACCATCGTGCATGTACAATCGCCTTACCTTCGCTGCTTTTCGCCATTTTCACGGCGCCGACAATCCAAACGATACTTTTACGTGGTGCTCCTTGATACTCGTCATGGTATCGGTAGTATGCCCGCACAACGAAGGAGACGCCTGCCCCTACTGGGGCCCTTCGCAGCAACGACAAGAACGTCAAGGTAATGGTTGCGAGTTGTTGGTTTCGCCTTGGTCCTTCCTTAACGCTTCAATGGGCGCGTCCGAGGGATTCTGCCGGCCGAGAAATAGACGACCGAAGCACAATCCCAAGTACAAAAAACTGCCAATATGTTCCCTATCTGTATCCTCGACATTGCCTCGCGCGTCGTGACTCGTCTTCGACTTGCAGGCGCCCCCCGGCACGAAGAAGGCAGCCGCAACACTCGACCCATCTGCGGCGAAGAGCAAGACAAGTTTGAACAAGGTATTGGGGGAGATGTGTCGCATTTGCCTCGGTATTATCCCCCCTTCGGTGCTTCCGTTATCGCGTCCGAATCATGCTCTAAGTCGAAAACTGAAAAGCCGCAGCACGTCCCCAACACGAAGATACATTGTTCACGTCGATTTCATCAGTATCATTTACCTTGCCGCTCGTTGTTGCTCGTCTTCGTGTTGCAGGCGGCCCCCGGCACGAAGAAGCCAGCCGAGAGGGCTGCCCCCGCCGCGGCGAACCTGGACTCATGCAAGAACGATCAGGTAACTCCCCGAGATTGTCATGTTCGTTGCCCCGGTTTAAGAGGGTGGCGTGACCCACGTCCTCCATCCTCATATATCGGACCCCCTGTCATATCGGTTGTAAGAGGGTACCGTCAGATGTCGTGACAATCTGTCTCAGGGTAACATCAGACACAGTGGAGATCGGGAATAAAGACAGACACGGTATACTTGACTACAGCCCAGCAAATCCATATGCAACGTACTATATCTATGGAAGGACGTGTGGTGGACTGTATAGCGTGGGGTGAGCCGCTTGCCCGATACGGCGTGCCCAGAGCAACTCAGGTGTAGTGGTCGCCACGGTGACGCCTTTGTCGTTCATGTTTTGTGCATGTTATGGGGTGTCAACGCAGATGAAAATTGCCTCGCAGCCAAGCTGACACGGCGATTGATGCTAATGGCGAAGTACCTTCATGTGGTCCATGCTTTTGGAGCACATGCCGAGCAAAACAATACGATAATACAAGGACCCGACCACCACTCCGACCAGGAGCTATCTTACGGTTGTATTGCCCACCACGAGCAGTGTACTTCGGCCTGCCGCAAACCATACGTAGCCTGCCACTTGTACTGATGCGGTGCGATAGTGTTGAAAGCACACGCATTGCCTGCATTGATGAGTATTCCCCACGTCTGCCTGCAGATTCTCTTGGTGTGGTTTCTATTATACCCTCCCTGTTAGCATTGACATCGCTGGCCACAGAGAGTGCGACGGCACACGCGACATGCACATACACGTGTCGTTTCCTCAGTTATTTCATATCTTTGCATTCTCCTCGCACGTACCACTATTTCCAACAAAATTTCACTACTTTTTTTGGGCACCTCCGTCTATATTGCAGTCTCTTCCTGAGTGCGCCTACGTCATCGGGTCGAGTCCGCGACAACTAATTTCGACCATCCGTGTCGGAGCCTCCTCGTCAGAGGCATCATTTTCTTACGGAGCCACGACTCGTAGAGGCTGATTTAACGCAATCCGCTTTGAAACCGCGCCCGAATCGCGTCAACACGCGTGTCATCCACGCCATAAGACACGCACAACTTCACATCCATATGTCAATTGATTTTACTTTCGGCACGCTCGTAAGGATCCTGTGTCGGCGAGCCCGCCCCACATGTCTGGACGCGAGGAAAAGAAGACGCGTGATGAAACGACTTCCACGGTGAGATAATCCCATCTCTTGTTTCTCACCGCACTCATTAGCCTTTTCGGTGGCCCCGCCGACATGAACATCAAGGGACGAGACGGTGTGTGACAATACACTTTTGGTGTAACGCTGTTGTCCATAGGAAAGCTTGTGGGGAGAACGTGTTCGGCACTTTTGCCGGCTAACGGTCTTCCATAGGTGGAGTTGGCGTATTCCGTGCTCTTGGTTGTGTGGGATGAAGGCGGATGGCGGTCAAAGGATGAGGTTTTCCCTAGGCAACAAAGCGAAAAGCATCTAGAGGATATTGCGACGAAAACACCCAACCCACAAGCGTTCGTTTCATACACCTCTGACTCCTCACGTGACTTGGTCCATGAGAAGCGCATTATGTCCGTACGACAAGGGCGTCGTCCAATGTTCCTTCCTAACGACATTCCACCCCGCATCTATTGCTGACATACTTCAACTATATGTTCGACTCCCGCCTGACCAGTGGTAACAAACGAAATCTACTTTCGCACGGACACAGGAAGACCTGCGAGACGGTGCACAGATATCAGACACTTCCTCCATATCCGAGGACATGGTATCGGCTACGTCCTCACCGATCCTTGCCGCAACGTTACCTGCCCGGGTTTGCAGGCCAACCGCCTTACGGCTTCGGAAAAATCTTTCCTGAAGAAACTCCTCGCCAAACAGAACGGGGTCGAGTCAGGGGACTTGGAGGAAGATGATGACGAGTCCGTTGACGACCTCGAGGACGCGCGCGCCGAGCCACACGGTAGGAACGACGTTGTCCTCGTCGCAAAGAGCTCAAGCTCTGACTCGACCCAAACTTTTCGTATTCCTATCTCACCGTGGGCGTAGGCCGCAAATGAACGACCGAGCCACGGAGCTGGCACATGTAAGATTGTCTCAGGGTGTGTATATGGAGAGCGCATCCGTCGGGCATCCAACATATATCATGCAAACATGCTTTGTCCGTACCGATCTCCTCATGGTGACCTAATATTACTGTATTCACTTCATGCTATGCGGACGTCATCCTTGTCTTGCAGGTGACCTCGAAAGTTACGACTCACAGGGCGCCGGCGATGGCAAAGCTGACGAAGATGAAGACTCCCCCCTGGACCACTTTCGGGACTGCCTCGCTGCCGCCCTGCCCTGGAAGAAAGCCTCTTTGAAGGTGATGCGGGAGTGGCGCGCGGCACTGTATCGTCTACGAAACACCCGAATCGAGGGCGTCAACGCAGCGATCACCACGATCCAGAACGACTCGAAGGACGGGGACGGCAACACTCGTGGGGAACCCCATGCCGACAGCCAACAGGTACGTGGGAGGCTCGTAAGTCCATGGGCATTCATGGTGTTGTGTACAAACTCATGCACTAGGGTAGACTTGCGAAAGTAACGACAGACGCATCCACGTCCTCGCCCACGACTCCCAGTTCTCGTTCCTGCGCGCTTGGACTTGTACGGTTGGCGGGTTGATTTACCTCGACGTACTACCCGTGCTACCTTGTCCTACTTTCTTACCATGTCGTGATCCTCGCAGGTGGCTCCTTCAGCTTGCGGCAGGGGATGTCTCTGCCACGACGACACCTGCTGTCCAGAAACGAAGCTCCTCAAGGATGCCGTCAAGACGCACCCCATCGAGGCGGACGACACGGAGGAACCCGTGGCTAGCGCCAAGCCAAAGAGCGCAAGCGGAAGGGTGGCAAGACCAACGTACACGCTCCAACTGATTGCGCGTTGACAACGTCCAATCTCGTACCCCCAGTCTATTCGTGCATTTCAGCGGGGGGTTTGTCGGGGGCTTTGGCGGGGTAGCAGCCCTGGACTACAGTCGACCCCGCTTCAAGGACGCACATGGTTCTTCCTAAAAAAAAGTCCTTAAAGCGGGGTTGCGTCCTTAAAATTCAGGGGACGATAGCTCACCATCCCCGGGACCAATGGAGGCATGCCATACCTCAAACTACGCGTCTTTTGCTAAGGAACGGCGTGGTACGAAAGGTCAGCATCGCCGAGACGACCGGCAACCGTTCGTTGACGTCGAACATATTTACAATACTTGAAATGAGACTTACAGCAGTCGGGGACGTGTTGAAAACAATTACAGTACACCAGTTTGTACTTGGCCGACTAATGTACTGCATAGCCGGCAGCGGAAGAAGGAGAAAAGTCCAAGTAGATACATATTTATCTCATTCCTGTGAAGAAAAAAACGAGCACATTTTAGCGTCGCACCGAGGAACACCAGTACGTATCACTGTCGTCCCGGCGGAAACCAAAAGCTAACTGGATGGCTTTTCCTTCCACATATCGTGAAGAATTCCCTGAACCCCCACCCGCGGCTTGGCTCTACGGCTTTGTTGAGTTTCATGAATAAACGAATGAACGGTCTCCGAAAGAAGGTACTCCGTCACACGGTATTCACCACCCCTTCCCTTCGCGTTCAAATACAGATAGCGCCCGCGTTTACGAAAAAATCTGTAAGAACAAAGGCTCAACTTTGTACGAAAAATAAGCAAAAAGGGCTAAGAAACAGCTCAATCTCGGCCACAACGTAAGAAACGCCCCAAAAAGAAACGTGATGGTGCGATACCCCCATGGCATCAGAAATCTGCGGTNAACCCCACGGGTTGAGTGATGTTGGAGTGCCGGACACATAGACGCGTTGAATGAGGATAGACACATATTGAACCTCACAGGTTATTTGTATTGGAGATTGCGAGACACCTAGACGTGTTGAATGAGGATAGCTGCATACTGAAACCTCACAGATGCATTGGGTTTTGCGAGACACATAGACGCGCTGAGTGGGGATAGCTGCATATTGAAACCTCACAGATGGATTGGTTTTTGAGTATGCCAGACACATAGACGACTTGAGTGGGGATAGCTGCATACTGAAACCTCACGAGTTGAGTGATGTTGGATAGTGCCGGACGCATAGACGCTTTGAGTCAGGAAAGACACATACTGAAACCTCACAAGTTATTTGTATTGGAGATTGCCGGACACCCAGACGCGTTGAGTGAAGATACC